TGTTACATCTTATTTTTAAGATTTATTTTTAGAGTGTTTGGATAATGAGTTTATTTCGTATTTTTACTCACTAAAAGATCTTAAATAAAAAGGTGGGGTAGAGGTACTTTTTTAAAAAAAGATCTTATTTGCTCTCCAACAGCTTATTTAAAAAAAAAAAAGATCTTTTTAAAAAAAAATTACCAAACACTTTGGAAGAACTTATAAGCTCTAAAACATCTTGTAAGCTCCTTTTAACATCTTATAAGCTTAGCCAAACACCCTCTAAATTTAGCCCAAATATGGGTATGGGCCTTTATCAAGAATATCTTGAACTAATGTGTATTACGTGGCCACATGAAAAAAATAAGCTTTTCTATAATGTTTTTTTTCTTTACTTGACAAAATCATTTTTAGCTTCTTTTTTTTTGTGTGGAATTTTTAGGTTTTCATTTGCAGCATTTTTGCGCCGATATAATAATGTAAAAATGTCTTGGCCATTTTAGTAAATTAAAGATTGTGATCAATGGTTATTTAAGATCAATCATTAAAAAATCGGTTCTGTAAAAGAAAGACTCGAAGTTGTACTGATAAAGAACGTCAAATTAGATTTAAATTGCAAAATAACTATTTAGAGCCTGTTTGGCTAAGCTTATAAACTCTTAAAAACATCTTATAAGATGTTTAGGAGGTTATAAGTTGTTAAAAGGTGTTTGGTAAAAAAATTGCAAAATATCTTATTTTTCCAAAAATAAGCTGTTAGGGAGCTAGCTTATAAGATGTTTTTAAAAAAATACCTCTACCCCACATTTTTTATTTAAGATCTTATTTGCTTCTTTACTAAAACACTTAAAATACAAAATTACCCTCAAATACTTTATTATATTACATGGATACTAATAATATTTATATTTTATCAAAACAACGTATTCTTGTAATCAAGATTAATAATTAGTTAAATATAATTATCGTAATTATCATAATAACAGTAAAAAAAATTATTCTGTATTTATATTTTATATGCATATAAAAATACACGAATATTCTTATTATCTCCATAATAAATTATATTTCTTTCATCTAAAAAAAATATATTTCTTTTACAACTTTTATTTTATATTATTATATAATTTTATATTATTATTATTATTTGAAAAAATAATTTGTAAATATTATAATAATATTTCAGGAACAAAAGTATTTGAGTCAAATAAGTTTAACAATTATACTGGCGTCATGTATTTTTTTGTCATTATAGCAATAAACAGACCTTTTATTTCCAAACACCTAAACAACTTATAAAAACAAAAAGTAACTTATAAGCTACATATCCAAACACCTTAAAAAATAATTTTTAAAATAAGATCTAACAGCTTATCGGCTCCTAAAACATCTTATCAGATGTAGGAGCTTATAAGATGTTTTAAATAAGCTTAGCCAAACGGCCTCTTAATTCGGAGAAGAGTTATTAATGGGCATCGGTGGAGATATCGAAAGAAATTATGGAAAATAAAGGTTTTCAACGAACTCAAATTGTATTTGAGTACGAAACGAACTCTATCTCAAGTGAAACGGCGCAAGGAACAAAACTCATGAGCAAAGCTCATGAATCACGTCAAAGTTCGTTTTTGCTATTTTAGGTAAGTTTTAGAAAATTAATATCAAATCATAGTAAAATCGTATTAGGATTCCGTAAATTGGGTTGTTCCCAAAATTACGAGATCTACTAGAATTAGGATTTAACTCGTTTTTGCCGTTTTTGGTAGTTTTTAGTATTTTCTTAGTTTAATTAGGGTTTTCAGTTTTATTAGTAGAAATAGCTGCCTTAGCACTTTATTTTGAGAAAAATTTCGAATTTTAATAAAATATTTCGAGTTTTCTCTATTTTTCTGGTAGATTTTAGAGTTTTCGGTGGATTCCGAATGTTATTTTATTCTATAGGATTAATTCGTAGAAATTAATTCTTTACCGTGCTTCCATTCTGCGTCATGTACATATTGTACTTTTTTCGTTCGATAAGATACTAAACTTGACTCAATTGCAAAATTATCAAAACTATTTAAGCCATAACTGTATTCTATTCGATTAAACCTATCTTTATTTTTCTGGAGAAAAAAGAACTATTTTACAATTACAAATGAGGATAACATCAACGTGCTCGAATATATCTAGATAATTAGGGTCGAAAAAGGTTATAAGAAAAAAAAAAACTAAATTCCGTAAATATGAAATTAAGCAAAATTAGACGAGCCCGTCTACAAATGCAAAATGTTTTTCGTGAAATAAGCAAGAGATGATCTAGTATATATTTTCCGGAGTAAAAGTACGGGTGGAAATGAATCGAAACGCATGACCGTTCCATTTTTTTGCAATTTCTATCGACCCTTAAAACTCTAATCATAAAACGAGTCGAGTTCAAACAAGTTTTATTCAAATGTGAGGTGGTCCAAATATTCCTAAATAAAGGGTGCGGTTCTCCATCCAAGAAAAAAAAAAAATTAACATAACCAACTATCTAATTAACTATGATAAACATTGATATAATGTCAAGACATGACACCAAACCTATGTAAATGGAGCATTAAAGTAGCTATATTTTAGGATTAACTTAATAATATTTTGGGATTTTCTGACAGGAATCTCTGCATTTAGGATACCTAAACCAAGTTCAGTACTCCTTCCCTTCCTTTTCAACTGTCATTTTTCATCATTACAAAAAATATTAAGAATTTTAATAAATACTACTTTATTTTAGGAAAAACACATAAAAATACTAAAATTATTTAAGCTTATAAGATGTTTCAGAGCTTATAAGCTCTTCCAAAGTGTTTGGTAAATGTTTAAAAAACGATCTTAATATTTTTTTAAATAAGTTGTTGGAGATCAAATAAGATCTTTTTAAAAAAATACATTTATCCCAACTTATTATTTAAGATTTTATAATGAGTAAAAAATAAGAAATAAACTCATTTTCCAAACACTGTAAAAATTAATCCTGAAATAAGATATAACAGTTTATCAGCTCTAAAAACATCTTAGACGTAAGTGCTTATCATCTGTTTAAAATAAGCTTAGTCCAACATGCCCTAAGTGTTTGTATAAGCTCATGCGCCTGATAAGATGTTTTTCGAGCTGATAATCTGTTACATCTTATTTTTAGGTTTAATTTTTAGAGTGTTTGGATAATGAGATTATTTCTTATTTTTACTCATTATAAGATCTTAAATAAATATTTTGGATAAATGTATTTTTTTCAAAAAGATCTTATTTGATCTCCAACATCTTACTTCAAAAAAAATTATGATCTTTTTCTAAAAATTTACGAAGCACTTTAAAAGTGCTTATAAATTCTAAAACATCTTATAAGCTTCTTTTAACATCTTGTAAAGACAAACGCCCTCTAAAAACACATGAAAAAGACTAAATAACTAGTTACACTGGACAATTCATTTATGACTAGTTCGACCCAAAAAATATTAGTAAGGAGTTGATACGTTGTTAAATATCGCACTCTATAACTTCAGTTACCCCTTCGGAATTAAAAAAAAAATAATAATAAATAAAATATAAAAAATCATCAGCTGATGTTTTAATAATATGCAAGTGGTGCATTTGTATCCTATATACATATTTCTAGTAGATCATAGGCCTGCACATTATATTCATTTTTGTTCACTACTAAAAGTATATTCTATTTAACTTAATTTAATTATCAAATGATGTCTTTTTCCTTGACAAAATTGTGTGATAGGAACACTCTCACAACCATTAATGGTAATCAAATAGATTAATATGTCATTAACCGAGTTGTGTTAGTAGTTTTTTCTTGGCTATTGAGAATATAGTTAGATTGCTAATAGGAAAAATTCTTATATGATGTCTTATTTTAGCACACAAACCCTAAAAAGTGAATTTTAGGGTGTAATTTAAAAAAAAAAACAAAAAAAAAAAAACATGAATCATACATGAGTTATGTATCATGGAAACTTCAACTTCTTAACATTTTTGCATTTCAGACACGTCTTGTATTCGACAATCGAGAACACCTACCGGACATCATATGGGCCATTTTGCAATTTCTGAAAATTTTAAACATGTTTGAAGAGTAAATTTCGAAATATTGTTGTTACTTTCCTAGTTAATTATAAGTGAATTGATAGATGATAATAATACTTATGTTGAATATATTTGTATGGAAATTTAAAAAAAAAACAATATATATGTTCATATAGCATATTTATAAATATACCCTTATACTTTTAATATTTATATGTTTCCCCTAAATTATTGTATTCCCATTTTTGGGACATGCCATTGTTTCGTGTCCGTTTCCCAGTTTTCTCGTATTGCCGTTTTCGTGCTACATAGTACACGAGTTTTTCGTAATAAAAGTATCACCAAGAGTTCTTTTAACCATTACCGTTAACATTGGAGCGCCGAATGCAATAAACCAAATAAAGTCATAATTCAAATTTCGATCTAATCAAAAGCTACTACAAGGGTGCTTCTCGGATTAAAGCTTAAATCGTAAATCTACATATCATAACATATACTCATATGTATGTGTGCTCAGTGGATAATTATTTATATAAATCTACGGTTTAAAACCACATGGTGTATTTCACCAGATGTAGGATCTCATAATCTAACAAACAATATATATGATATAACGTATTTAATCAAAATAAAGAATCATAATTAAAGAAAATCACAACTCCAGATTGTTGATGAAAATCATGGCAAATATAAATAAGTAATTATAACTAAATAACAATAGTATTAATTACAATTTACTTAGTATTTCATAAAAATAATGAGATTCTGCTATAATGTGCCCTCGTATTTAGACACAATAGAGTCCAAAATCCATGTTTAGTGGCATATATCACAAGAATTAAAACTAGAGTACAAAACAGCATCTCTCTCTCTCTCTCTCTCTCTCTCTCTCTCTCTCTCTCTCTCTCTCTCTCTCTCTCTCACACACACACACACATATATATATATTGTGTATGTATAGATCATAAAATTTTATATATTCACTGCGTGGTTACCCATTTTCTTCTTCACAAGTAAAAATAATTACTATGGCATTTCTAACAGCCATCCCCGGTAATAAAAGTTTACCACTTCCAAAAAATGTATGCAGAGCAAAAACGGCATCGTATAGGAATCAGTTCAATAATGGCAAGATTGTCTGCATGAAAATCCAGCCGTCCAAAGCTGCAAACACAACCATTTCTCAGCCGTCGATCGAAGTTCAAGATCATCTTGTTTTCCCCAAATTCAATTTCGAAGAATATATGGCGGCAAAGGCAAATAAGGTCAACGTAGCTTTGGATGATGCAGTCCCTCTCCAAAACCCAATCAAGATCCATGAAGCTATGAGGTTTTGATTTATTTAATTTTCATTACATAATTCCGTTTATTGTTTTTGATTTATTGGAATTAGTAATAAGCATTGATTATTTTAACATGATCGAACATGACTGCATCTGTTTTCGGGCGCGTTCTGAGAATTCGAGGGCCCTAGGTGACATTTAAACAACGGGGCACCTATTTGAAAAATCAATTTTATTAAAGGATGTGCCCCGAAATATTTGTTGAAATGTATGAATATAAAATAACTTTAAATATAAAAAAAAAAAATTAATATCCTTATAGCAAATAGACTTCATAAATATCTATAAACTTAAATACACTAACCAATATTGATTCTTATTTTAGGTATAAAAATAAAATAATAAGATGTTATAAATTTAATATTTAGGGGCCCATGTTAAGAAAATTGTAAAAATATTTATTGATCATTTATTTTAAATTTATTTTAGAACTGATCTTCCAAAATATTATATATAATAAATTTTAAAAAATAAGTATTAATATATAAACTGTATATAATAATTTGGGGGCTTTAAATTTTCGTAAAAATCTGGGGCCCTAGGCGACCGTCAACTTCGCCTCCCCGCCCTTGTGTGTTTTTTTTCGATTAATTGTGTGCTCGAACAGGTACTCCCTTCTCGCGGGCGGAAAAAGAGTCCGGCCGATACTCTGTTTGGCTTCATGCGAGCTAGTCGGAGGCGACGACTCGATGGCCGTCCCGATGGCGTGCGCCGTGGAAATGATCCACACGATGTCGCTCATCCACGACGATCTCCCCTGCATGGACAATGACGATTTCCGCAGAGGCAAGCCCACGAATCATAAGGCCTTCGGCGAGGACACTGCGGTCCTCGCCGGGGACGCCCTCCTCTCCCTCGCGTTCGAGCACGCGGCCGCCAATACGAGGAGCGCCAACCAACACGGAGTTCTTCAAGCCATCGTTGAGCTGGCATCGGCCGTCGGGTCCGAGGGGCTTGTCGCCGGCCAGATTGTGGATTTATGCAGCGAGGGGAAGGAATTGAGTTTGGACGAGTTGGAGTACATTCATGTCCATAAAACGTCGAAGCTCCTGGAGGCGGCAGTGGTTTGTGGGGCGATCGTTGGCGGCGGAGATGGGGTTGCGGTTGAGAGGCTGAGGAAATACGCTAGATGTATTGGACTGCTTTTTCAGGTGGTGGACGATATTTTGGATGTGACGAAGTCGTCGGAGGAGTTGGGGAAGACCGCAGGAAAAGACTTGGTCGCCGGTAAGGCGACGTACCCGAGACTAATGGGGCTTGAGAGGGCGGAGGAATTTGCTCGCGAACTTGTGTCGAAAGCCGTCGGGGAGTTGAGTTACTTTGATCCTTTGAGGGTCGCGCCGTTGTATCACTTAGCTGGTTACATAGCTTCGCGACAAAATTAGTATAGTGCAATTCGCGCGAGAGACGTTTTATTTGATAAACATGAAAGTTGTGTACATAACTATGGAGGAATTCAAATGTCGGCGTGCATTTTTATTTGAACCTTCTTCTCGTTCGAATTTGAAAAACTTAAAACACGAGAGTTGTAGTCTTTTGAGTTGACTTTCTGATGCCACTCGAATCAAGTCAACCGTACATCTATGAATGAGTTATTAGCACAATCATAGACAATGCCAAAGTTATTGTGAGATTTTTTCTTCCGGAGTTGATTTTCCTGTCGAATTTGTATTTTTTTCCGAATTATTGACAACGAAAAGGTCTTTCAAACATAGATGAGACTGAAAGAGAATCATCGACGGAATTTTGGGAAAGCTCTCGTATCTAGAGAAGGAACAACTTTTGTTGGCCCATTACTCATGCAATTAAGTATTAACTCTATTTATAAAACTAATAAAAACAACGAAGGATGAGTAACAATCAAAACACAACAAATTGACTTTTGTTCAACACATCACAAACTTAGAATTTTGTTCATCCTCGAGCAAAGATGAACTTGTGCAAAACTAACACACATAGCTAGTGGTGACCAATATAGAGTTCTCTAACGCGCTTTCACCATAATCACTTTTGTGATCTCGTAAGTACTCTGAATTTTGAACTACTCAAGTGCTCATCGTTATTAAAACCGCAAAAAAATCATTTAAGTTTCTAGGATTGCTCATCATTATTAATTTGTACGTTTTCGGAGAAACGTTATACTTACATGTTAACAAGACTCTGTAAGCTCACGAAATTCCGCTTCTCTAGCTTTCGGAATCAAAGGTTCTTCTTCTTTTTTCTTTATAGATTGTATTAAAAACAAAGTTAAAGGGTACTCATGCGAATTAGTCGGAGCTGTCCGCTTTAACGGAAATAAGAAGTATCTTGCAAGAATTTGAAATGCAACGGTAAATAAAACAATGGAAGAAAATTAAAAGATTAGAGAGAAAAAAAACAAATGAAAAAAAAAAGCTTGGATTGCCTCCTAATAAGCGATTGAGTTATAGGGTTAAACCTCCATAAATTAATACAATCGGGACTAGCAGAATTCAATTAATTTAGCGAAATGTTAAATTATCGAACTAATAATTTAGTAGGTTTTTACCGACTTGGGACCAAAAGAAACTATTATTTATGCGAGGTAATTAATTTATCGAGGTTCTACTGTAGTCTTCGGCTTGACTTTTTATTGAAACTGTTATGTTCAATCCGAAATCTTGTAGATTGTGCACTCATCCATAGTCTTACTACATCCTTTGCATCTAATGCATGGATAGAGTTGCTATCTTTCAGCGTCATCTTAGCTTATAATCGACCGGTAAGAGACCAATGTGAGATCGATGTATTGTCATTCACACACTCGAATCGGTAAACAAAAACTTCTAGTCTACGTACAATGTCCACTTCAAACAAATTCCCCTTATCAATGGAAATTCACAATTTGAGTGTTTTATAATTCTCTTGCATCCATATTTATCACTTCTCTATATTTTCGAACTATGACTTTCTTGATTTTCAGCTCGATTGAATTTAAAGTTCCTCTATTTTCTTTTAGTTCAACCTATAAACACTGGAAAGAAAAAAACGAAGAAATCTTCAAATGGTAAATTTAATGATTTTTTGTACATCAAATATACTAATATCAACGAGCAATGCACATCAAAATTCCTGCATCGACACCCGTATGGTGGGGAATCTAAGCATGCTTCAAACCATGAACTCTAGAAATTACAATATTACATAACAAAGTGACAGCCTAACTCGCGGTGTAACAACATTAGGGTACAACCTGAAGACAAAATAAATCAACCTTCGACTTTTGGTCGCCAGCCCTCAATCACATCTTTTGGTTCAGCTCGAGTATTGACGAAAGAATCTTTCGAGAATATAGTCTGAGCATAAATGTGAAACAAGGACAAACATATTTTGAGATTCCGAACATTAAAAAAAACGTAAATAGTAATATTTGGTGATTTTTAATTTATATCTAAAAATATCACTAATCGTATTGGACTAATGTACATTTGGAATTTCCATCCCACCAAGGGATACGTGACTGAAATTCTCGTATTATCCACTGATATTGATCTGTTTTGTCATTTATTCACAGATTTTAAAGATAAAGTCTTCATTTTCTTAATTGAAGAAATCAGAAACAGAAACCGATAAGAATTTTAAAACAAATAAACGAGAATTTATAGTGCAAACAAAATTACCTTCATGTATGAATTCACATATGTAAGTGAATCTGGGATAGACCACTTTTTATAGTGTCCTAAAGCAATTTCTAGATGGTAGAGCTTCGGTGCAAGCGACAAATCTGCTGCGGATATCAATTCCCCATTAATAAACGGGCCCTACATGCGTTTAAAAAAAAAAGGGGCCGTTAACCATATAAAACATAGGATAAATTACGGTCACTGATGTAATGTCAAATTACGAAAAAAAAAAAACTGTTTGGGTAATTACAACCGCCCCTCAACTATGAATCTTCTAATACGTCCACACTTGTGGTGTCAAATTCAACAGAATCTTTTAGATACAATGGAATGTTCTCTAGTTTGTACTCGTTTTGTGCAAAAATAATTTGATGCACAATCATCTGATATTTACAAGACAAGCCACGAGACACATTTTACGATTATCTTGTTTCAAAATATGGAGCTCGAATGGGGTAAAACGGGTACAAACTGGAGAATATTCCACATATTCTAGAAAAAATCCACTAAATTTGACTCCGCAAGGGTGGACGTGTAAGAAGGTATTCGTAATTACCCAAACATGAGGGGGGTTTTCGTAATTTGACCTTATCTCAGGGGGTGACCGTAATATACGCTATAAAATATTGTCAAATATTTTCATGAACTCACATTTTCTTGGAGATAATCGTTGAAGGCAGTGAGCTCGTTTAGTAATGCCTGCTCTGTTCCGTCGCTGGAGTCTTTGCTTTTAAGAAATCCGATAAACGTGGAGAAGATCTTCGAACCGCTACAAATAATTCAAGAAAATTATACGGAATTCATAAAAATATTATTATTGTTAAGCATCTTCGACATAATTAACAGAAATATTAATTTGTCGGAAGACGTTGATTACTGATAAAAGTATCAACCGTTAACTATATCGATGGCATTAATTAAGAAAGCCATTGTGCATTTAGAAATGAATACATACACTGTAGCTTTCTCTGGTGGCGTGGCAAGAGAGGGCTCGGGGAATTTTTCTTCGAGCGCCTGTGTAATAACATCGGAATCGGGAATCCACTTCTCACCGAGCTTTATTATTGGAACTTTACCCTCTGGACTAATGCTCAAGAACCTATTACATATAAAAGTCGTAACAAAATGAATTGACAACATAAATGTTGTAATAAACAACACGGAATACAAATACCGAGCAATTATATACTATAGCAAGTAAGACGAGGGTCTCGTTACCACTCGGGTTTGTTGTTCAAATTAACCAACTTCAAGTCGTACGGGAGGCGCTTTTCCTCTAGTGTAAGCAAAACTCTTTGCGTGAACGGGCCTGAAAATGTACTTTCGATTTTAGATACAACAGAAAACAAATGTAATTCAAATAAATTTTAAAAATAAAAAATAAATAACAAAACGAAAAAATGCGTTCACTTTTCTCATTCATGAAACATGCACACCAACTGTTTGAATCAAGTCCCAAACGAAAACTTGGAAACTTAATCAGAAAAAAAAAAAAAAAAAAAAAAAAAAGATCCTTAGATCACCTTAGCATCAGCTACCTGCCTCTGAAAATGTATTATATATATGTATATGTTTGTATGTATATATATGTATATGTCTGTATGTATATGTTTGTACGTATGTATATATATGTATATGTCTGTATATATATATATATATATATATCATATATATATATATGTATATGTCTGTAATACAGACTATGTATATAGATATGTATATGTTTGTATATATATATATATATATATATATATATATATATATGTGTGTGTGTGTGTATGTCTTTATATATATGTATATTTTATGTAACTTATATTATTATTATTTTTTTTTTTTTTTGTGATTAATTGTTTTTGTGTAATAAATTTAGTAATTCTTTTGTTTTTATGAATCTGTGTATATAACAATATGTTTTACTTCCCGTATTTGTAATCCAAGTAAACCAACATCTAATATATTTTTGATATTTTATGCAGTTTGATGTCACATTTCGAATTGGAAGTAATAAATAATTATTAGGAAAAAAAAAATAAAAAAAAAATAAATAATAAAAAAAACAGAAAAAAAAAATAAAAAAAAAAAGAGGAAAATAGCAAAACCCGAACCCGACCCGAACCCGACCCGAAATAACCGGGTACCCGGCAACCGGGTACCCGGTTATCTCGGGTCGGGTTCGGGTAATTTTTTTTTTGCAAAAAACCCGAATAACCCGACCCGAATAACCCGAATAACCCGACCCGACCCGAATGCCCACCCCTACACATACGTATCTTCTTCTCCCAATTAAACTCACTTTTATCTTTCAAGAGATCCCCAAATCGAAGCCCTAACTCTAGCAGAAATCAAGAACCAAAAACTGATTGATTCGACCCAGTTCAAAGAAGAAAATATATGAATGTTTGAAACTTTCTATTTTTTAAAATCAAGACGCTACTTAAATCAAGTATCTTGTGTTCTCTCTTTTGAATATTTATAAATTTTGAAATTGATTTTTAGTAACGGCGATGCTTGCTTTTTACTTATTTTTCAAAAGTCGTTGTTCTCCTTTTATTTTACAGTTATGCACAATTGGTGGGAATCATGCTCAATTGGGAGAAGAAGAGGTAGGAAAAAGAGGCGTTTCTATAATTTGATGACCTTGACTAAACGACGTCAATGTCAAAATCGTGAAAATTGACGTAGAGGGTTACATTAGAACAATTGTACAAGTGTAGAGGGATAAATTGATGCAATTGAGAGTATGCGGGGTAAAGTGATTCAAGGTCAAAGTATGAGGGGGTAAAGTGGATTTTTTTTTTTTTTTGAAAAGAGGGGTAAAGTGGAATTTGCCCTTTCTTTTTCACATCTTAAACTATGACTTGGATAGGGATGGTAACGGGTCGGTTCTGGGCCGGATTTGCCTAAACCCGAGACATGACCCGTGAAAAATATATAAAACTCAGATCCGTCCCAACCCGGTTCAACTTAGATCCAAACCCGTCCCAACCCATACCCGAATTAAATGGTTCTGACCCGCAAAACCCGTTAGACCAGTTAACATAAAAAAAGTTTATTATTTTTTAACTTTCATAAAATTTTGCTACTATATTTTAACAAAATAATTTAAAAATTAAAATACAATATTTTAAAATACTTCTACAAGTGATATAAGTGAATAATAAAATTATATAATTAATTATATTTAACTTCTAAGATAAGTATAGTTCAAAAGGCAAGACGGCTAGCGGTGGTGGACAAGTGATAGATTTTACTTATGAGAAATGAGATTCAAAAAATAAAATGGTGAAAAATGGATATATGAGAATAGACACGATGAAAATTGAAAGTTTGATAAATGAAATCATATATTAATTTTATATATAAATCAATTATAAAATATAATATATTTATATGAGTCGGTTCTGGGTCGGTTCCAATAAGACCCGTAACCCGACCCAAAACCATCCGGTTCTAGAAACGTAAACTCATTACCCGACCTAGAACCATTTAATTTACCCAGATCCACCCCAAACGAGTCGGTAAACCCGTACAGTCGTACCCGTTACCATCCCTAGACTTGGATTTATATGGACACATTCACCCCTTCACTTATCTTTATTTATTTTCCTTACCACACCTCATAATATTTATTGAAATATTTATAGAAGTTTGTTTTAATTTACTCTTACTTATATAGAAAAACTTTGATTAAAATTATCATTGTAGTTAGGCCTAGAAATCAAGCCAAGGTATTTGAAATTTGATTTGAGATCGTTCGTTGAAATTCATTTAAGTTTGGTTTATTAACATAACGAACGAAACTTGAACACATATTTTCGTTAGATAAACTATGAAGCTCGATCCAAGAAATAATAAATTATACTTAAAAAATAAGTTATCTAGTTCGATTCGTATTCGGCGCAATTAAAGCTTGTACCAAGTTTGGAGAAACATGCATTAGACTCCACCCAATTTTCATTTATAATTTTATACCCCTAATTGTTGATTTAAACCATTTGAAACTTTTATTAAAATTAAATTTAAATTCATTAAATAATATTTGCATTGAATTGCTAAATTAATTTTATCTATATAAAAAAAATCTTAATTACAATAAAATCAATTTATTGCTATATATGGATTTACCAAAATCAATTATAGCATTGAACTACAAAACAAGACCTTTTCAAAGTAAAAGTTAACCACTTTGATCAAAAAATTGTAATTGTATCTCTTTTTACTAACAAACAAGATTAACAAAAAATTAACAGAATTAAACAGAGGTTGAGCCCCACCGACCTTGTAACCCTAACCATGGACTCCACGACCCTAATTCAACCCCACCCCACTTCAAAACTCCCAATCAAACGCAAAACCCCCGATCCTAATCCTCCACCACTCGACGGCGGAGCTCCGCCGTTCAAATTCCACCGCATTTGGACCGAACCCGACGAGATCCGCTTCTTGCAGGGCCTATTGGATTGCTCCTCTCAGAATGTAGCCTTTCCCAGAGACTTGGGGATCTTCTACGCCAGATTCTCCAGCACAATGCCGCAGCCGTACACGAAATCGCAGCTCTCCGAGAAGCTCCGGCGGCTCCGGAAGAAGTTCCGGGTCATTTCGACCCGTTTGTGTAAGGGTATGGATCGATCGCAGTTGTCGCTGCACGATCGCGCGCTCTACGGCTTGTCGGAGCAGCTCTGGCATCCGGACTACGCCGCCACCTCGCCTTTCAGCGGCGCCAGAAATGTTGGCGGTGGCGGCGGTCGTAGCGGCGGTGGCGGTGGTGATGGGGAGATGAAAAGATCGGAACTCGTTGGAATAAAGGTTGATTTTTCGCCGAATTTGCCGGTGGTAATTTCTGGTTCCGATCAAGAGAATGATGTGGATTTGGATTTGGATTTGGATTTGGAATTGGATGGTGAAAGTGAAGAAGTTCAGTTGAGTGAGGTTAATGTGGAGTTTGAAGGGGAAGAGGAAGAAGCTGTCGACGATGATTCGGTGGAGGGGATTGGTGGTGGTGGGGCCGCGGTGAATAGTGATTCCGGCGGTGAGAATAGAATCGGAGAGGCCGCAGCGAAAGTGGTGGTGAATGTGTTTGATGAGTGCTTCAAAGACGTTAGAAAGAGGTTTCTTCTATCCGATCAAGGCGGCGAAACTGGCGGCGGTGGTGGTGGTGGTAGTGCAGATACTTTTCAAGTGCGGTGGCAAAAGCAACGGATTGCGGAATTGGATGTTCTCGGTAGCCGATTGAGGTTGGTAATCGAGCATTCTCTTCAAAAGCATTGAGTAAATATGATTTTTTTTTTTTCGAATTATAGGGTTATTTTCTTGATTTTTACATCAGTCGTAGCTATTTCCGATAGTTTGTACATTTCGATTTGGTAATGGAGAATAAAGGGTTCTCTATTTCAATGATAATTCTTTTTGTTCGTGGCAGTATATTAACCGATTGTCGTTAGAAACGAAACTTGCCCAACTGAAGCTATTTCCGATAGTTTGTACATTTCGATTTGGTAATGAAGAATAAAGGGTTCTCTATTTCAATGATAATTCTTTTTGTTCATGGCAGTATATCGTTAGAAACGAAACTTGCCCGACTGAAGCTAATGAAATTTGAATGTAGGAAGCAATAACAATGTTTATCGTAAGATTGTGTCGGACGCGGATTTTATTTATTGTGAGTAGTTTCAGAAGATAGAAACGGAAATGCGTCTCACTCGAACTATACTACCTTAGATGTTTGAATATTGGGCAGGGCCATTTTTATTCGTCTTCTTGTTTATGATAATTTGTTTGGGCTTTCGAATAATTTGTGTGTTTCGTCGACTGAGATTGAAGGGCTAAGGGCTAATTTGTTGTTTTTTACTGATGAAGATACTTAAGGAAAAATTCCCGTTAGATCAGTTGAGAATTTCGATATTTGATGAGGTCACCCTTTTGTTGAGACGGTTATCGGTTTTATTCTTTCTGTTTAAACTCTCGAGTTCACGTCACTTTTGACATGTGTTTGTTTGTGTTCTAAGTTGGGAGATTTCGATACATTTTCTGAACCCGTGTGCACTTAGTTTCTGTGTGTTTTTTTCCGGAAAAACGAGATGATGAATTAGTGAAACTAACATTGGAAGATTTGATGAATTAGTGAAAGTAACATTGGAAGATTTGTCATATTTCTTGCAACCTAAAAAATATAAACCAAATTTGATTAAATAAGTCAAAAATTATGAATCAAAGCATGGGTTGTTCTGTGATCAGCTTATTAAGTGTAATCAGTTGTTATTAAATGGTCTTTCTCTCTCTCGTAAGGCCTCGTTTGGTTACCAAGATGAGATTAAATAATTTAATAAAAATTTGATTATTTTAGTAGACGTTCAACAAAAAAGTTCTCTAAAAGACAAAATAAACTATGATAACATAATATTTGCGGGTCGACCGGTCAAGGTATTGGGAATGTCAAACAGCAAACAAGATCTAATTATTTGATTAATAATGGCTAATGTCCTCAACCAAACGGGGCTTATGTGTGTTGGATTGGGGTAAATATTGGAGGTGATATAATTGCATATAAACGTTGTTATACTTCGTACTCATATTATTTGTTGCTTTATAATTCTAATGAAGTATTAGCTACTTGTTTTTCAATTATGCCTTTTTTGTTTAATTAATTGAAAGATAATTAGTTTTGGGATGATTTTGCATTATGTTTTGGTACTTTTGATGATTTTGAACTTTGATTTGGATGATTTCACTTTTATTATTGACATTGGGGATCATTGAAGCTTGTCTAGTTTTGTTTTCAGATGATTTTGAAGTTTTTTATTGATATATTTGATGGTTTTGAATTATGTTTTATATTTTGGATGTCTGTTTTAGTACATTTGCTACATTTGAACTACCAGAAGACATTTTTAAACTAGTAATTATAATTTTAAAAAGAAATTAAAAATAATTTCTAGAGTATAAAAATTTGTTCATAATTTTTTGGTAAAAAAGAAGGCAGGTAACAAAAATTGGGAAGAAATTGAGTACAAATGAGTGAAGAATGATGTATACCTTTTTATACACAATAGAGGGGTATTTTGTTCTGAAAATTTCCAACGGGTAATGTAATGGATAGTCAACAATTGAAAGGGACAGTTTTTTAACAAAGATGGACGGTAGGGGCTGTTTTGTTGCATTTCAATGTACATGGGGTAAATGCGACAGTAGTGATAATACATGGGTGCAAATAGTATTTAACCCTATTATATATGACTATACAAATATAACATGAGATACTAAATAATTCATAAAAAAAGAAAAACACAATAAAGGAAATAAAAAAAAAAAGAGTCGGACCCTTTTTTGTATGTATGTTTTCTTTTTACGAATGAATCCACAATCAACAATATAGGTGTACTGAGTAAATCTACACTCTCGTATAATAACTTGCAAACTATACGAGACGTAAATCACACTAAGCTAATCATATGTGACGAACTCGATCTAACGACCATTGACAAGAGGATTTGAACTTGGATAATTGACACTAGCTCAGGTCATCCTTGCGGGACCGTTGGCAAGGGGATTTGTTTTTTCATTTTCTACTTTCTGCGTCGAGTGGGGTGAAGGCAAAGAGTGGAATGAATTGAGAATTTTGCATTAGTGTTGGAGGAATATGTGTGTGTGGAGGGGCTGTTATACTTGTATTGGGGATGACAATGAAGTTAAGTATATATGAATAATGAAGTTGAATTTCAAATTTGGCACTTTGTAAGCTCGAACTTAGGTTGTAGGATAGTAGGAAATAACAATTTAATTTGTTGTCTTGCATCCTGAAAAAAGAAAAACCAACAAAAAATCTGAAAATTCAGTTCTCCTATGTAATATTAAAAAATTCAATTCAGAATGTTTCGTGAATGATTTATTGTGTGTCGAGGGTGCATAGTGATACTATTTATTTTTTAGGATGCAAAGTGCAAAAAATGCAATATTTCAAGGGTATAAATGGATTACGGCTTTATTTTTTATAAGGGTGGTTTGTTTGTTTTGTTTGAAAAAAGATTAAAAAAAAATGGAATGTGTTTTTACCGGGATCGAGCCTCATTTGCTACGGATTGAAAGTCGAAATATTATCTGAAATTCGAATGTCTTGAGAGAGTATAAGGGAGAATATAAAAAAAAAATGAAAAAGATATATATGTATTCATTAAAAATACGGCTGCAAATAACACCACCCTAAATAAAAAGGGCAGCATTGGTATTATTATGGGATAATCATAGTGCTATAATTAAGGGACGCTTGTAAATAAATTTAACAGCAATTTCTCTTTTCATATATGGACTATTAGTAGAGTATTAGCATCAGCAATAACATAATAACATTAACATTAGGATTATGATTAGAATTAGGATTACGATTAACATTAACATAGTAGTATTAGCATTTACATATTAGGATTCGGATTAGGATTACGATTAGTATTAGTCTTATGATTTGGATTAGGATTAAGATTCAAATTAGAATTATAATTAGTATTAATATTAGTATTGTATTAGTATTAGTATTAGTATTAGTATTATCATTAGTATTAATATTAGTATTAGTATTAGTACTAGGATTCTAATTAGGATTATGAGTATGATTAGGATTAGCGTTAGGATTATGATTATAATTACCACATTGCCAGTTAAATTTCAAAGACGACAATATCCAGTGATTATTTCATTTGCCATGACAATCAACAAAAGTTAAGGTCAAACTGTCTCACACGTTAGATTGTACCTACCAAGGCCCGTTTTCAGTCACAGTCAATTGTACGTAGCGTTGTCTCGAGTGAAGAGTAGATTTGGAATAAATATCTTCATCAAGGGCGAATCCGGTGAGTATTCCAAAGAATATTAATGTACACATTGACAAACATCATTTATCGATGATATGTTCATATTTCTTATTATTTCAACGTGTACACTCTATGTGTGTTCAATTTTATTCGCAACATGCAATATATTTCCACTTGAATAATCGAATATTTTTTTTTTCGACACACACACACACACACACACACACACACACACATATATATATATATATATATATATATATATATATATATATATATATATATATATATATATATATATATATATATATATATATATATATATATATATATATATATATATATATATATATATATATATATATATATATATATATATATATATATATATATATATATATATATATATATATATATATATATATATATATATATATATATATATATATATATATATATATATATATATATATATATATATATATATATATATATATATATATATATATATATATATATATATATCAGTATTCTTTATCTACGTAATATTTTCAACTTATATATATATTGAAATTGATGAAAAATAACAGGTTATTCGTCCTTTGATCGTAAATCTAATTGTAGTTTCATGGTCTTCTTTAACAACATACAGATTCATGTGTAAGACCGGTGCATTACTTTAATTTCAGTCTCTGAGTTATTTGTTACACTTCAACGTGGATGGTGTTTAGAGCATTGTCAGTTTATTTTTTTAAAGGTGATTTTTTATTGATAAATTAAGATACGAATTTATTATTTTTTTGTTCAATTGTATTCTTTACATTCTCGACATATTTTTTCTCGATTGGTTTTCTGCATTAACTCATTTTTATTTTTTAACTAATCTCCGTGCATTGCACGGGTGAATTACTAGTTTCTATTACAAGAAGAGAAAAAAAAAACATAGCAAATGGTAAGGGAATGATAACAATCTTAAACTGGATAGGTGCATTTTCATCACATCTTTATATATAAAAGAAGGTTTTCCCCGAAACCCAAGACCCATTTTTCTGAAATAATTGTAAGGTTTTCCCCGAAACCCAAGACCCATTTTTCTGAAATAATTGTAACCCTAAGGGTATTTTTGTCCGTTTACTTTGGAAGTTAATATAGTTTTTATGTATTTATCCGATGGCCAGTTTCCATAGATATCTTCCCACCTTCTCTAAACTGTCTGAGAAGCATTTTAATTAATTAATTTGCACGAAGAAAATTAATTAATTTTTTTTTTATTAGGAGAATGATGATTTTATTACGTATTAAGACATTGGTGATTTTTAATATAGGGGTTTTTGTGATAAAGTCCCCAACCAAACATGTTTATTATTCTAGGTTTAGGGGCTATATCTCTTTCACCAATAAGCCCATCCCTTTAATATTTATTATAAATAAAGGAAACACTCATGTATATCTCAATATTACCCTCAACCATTTATACCCAATTCTTAATTGTAACCCCAATTTAATTAATTTTGTCCACAAAAATCCAATTTTGACCACAAAAATTCAATTTTGACTTTTTTTTGGAGCATACTTTAATATGCTCCAATTTCATCATTTAACTTAATTTAATCTCAATTTGACCCCAAATTTCATAAATTATTCAATTTTGACTCAAAAAATTTTTTTTTAAAAAAAAAAAAAAAATTCATAAACTTTTTTTTTCCCGCCGGTCTCCGG